CCTGGCTTGTATCAGGAATAGTGTGTCCAGCAGGACCAGGGAGGTGATAGTGTCCCTGTACTCGGCACTGGTGAGGCCACACCTTGAATACTGCGTTTGGTTTTGGGCCCCTCACTACAAGAAGGACATTGAGGTGCTGGAGCATGTCCAAAGAAGGGCAACGAAGTTGGTGAAGGGTCTAGAGAACAAGTTCCGTGAGGACCGGCTGGGAGAACTGGGGTTGTTTAGCCTGGAGAAAAGGAGGCTGAGGGGAGACCTTATCGCTCTCTACAAGTATGTGAAAGGAGGTTGTAGCGAGGTGGAGGTCGGTCTCTTCTGCCAAGTAACAAGTGATAGGACAAGAGGAAATGGCCTCAAGTTGCACCAGGGGAGGTTTAGGTTGGATATTAGGAAAAATTTCTTCACCAAAAGGGTTGTCAGGCATTGGAACAGGCTGCCCAGGGAAGGGGTTGAGTCCCCATTGCTGGAGGTATTTAAAAGACATGTAGATGTGGTGCTTAGGGACATGGGTTAGTGGTGAAGTTGGCAGTGCTAGGTTAACATTTGGACTTGATGATCTTAAAAGTCTTTTCCAATCTAAATGATCCTATGATTCTAAGAGAATGAAACCCATTTCATTTCCCTGCTCCCTGAGTTTCAGGATCCCACCACACCGGTCCATTGTTCATGTTCTTAGCCTGTGTAACTCTGAGGTTAGTATTATAGTCTCTGTTTTGTGGTGGGAGAGGTAGAGGTTTAGGGCAATTGCATGTCTTGCTGAAGATCACATAACAATCTGCTTGTGGAGTGGGGAATGCAACCTATAATCTCTTGACAGCAGTTCATCAGTCTTATACTTGCACAGACACCCTTAGCTTGAGAAGTTCATCCCAATAAAACAGCAGATGAAACGTATGACTGTTAATGCGGGTTCACTGTTCTGTGAGTCTAGTGCATTCTGGAAGGAAAGGTGGCCAGCTTTACAAGTTTCCAGTTCTAGAGCTAGCTCAGACATCTCTGCATCGCAATCCCATTAAGTAGTGTATTTATACTCCAAGTCACTTGTTGCCAGAGGACTTAGGCTCCTAAATCCCAAAAATGTTTTTGGGAACAGGTGGTTTCCTGTCTGCAAAAAGGGGACATGGACCATTCCTTTGTCTGCACTTTCTGTTTATGCAGCAAGGAGCAGGTGTATAGTTACAAATCCTGGATCCTTGCCTCAGATGGGGCCTCTACAACAGATAACTGTCTTTTATGCTACTTGCAGGACTAACTAATTCGGCTCCAAAAGGAGGAGCCTTAAATTTTATTTGCTGTTTTCTTTCTCATTCTGAGTAGTTCCACTAATGACCCTTGTTAAGATCATGAATATGTTTATCTTCCTGGTGTAAGTGTGCAACTTTCTTTCAGATGATTGCCTCATCACTATACTGTCTGGAGAGCTGTCAAACTCTCAGACGCAGGCCATATTCCCTAATTATTCTTGAAAAAGGCAGAGCAACTAATGCCTGCTTCTGCCTCTCAACTGCAGCACCTTGGTGTAATGTGGTCTGATGTTTCTTCTAGGGATTCGTGTCATGTATGGAACGGTACCGAAGAACTGGGCAGGAGCTGTACGCCTCTTTGTACAAGAACCATGTACAGGTAAACAACAGGAATATCATGCAACAGCTTCCTGTTGTTGAAAGGATGCTCTTGGACTACCCTGAGAAATAAGGCATTTCAGAAGTGAGATGAGTAGTATGCCCAAAGAAATGCTGAGAGTTGATGAGTCAATACTCTGTTCCTGACATGGCCACTGAAGTGTAATATAGCATCACTCACCAATCAGATTGCTGATCCTCACTTTATCTTCAGGAGCCTTTTTTCTTTTGTTTAAATTAATTATTCCACTCTCACAGTGCCAGAAATGGAAGTGAGGATTTTGACCTTTTTTTCTTAGCACCAGTAAAACTTTTCAAGAGGTCTCAAGCTCATAGCCAGTAAAATCTCACAGGTATGTTTCTGTTTCAGGACTGGCCATCAGAGACCAACAAGCTTTTCCTTCTTTGAAATTCTCACCTCTTCTCTCCTTTAAATTGATATTTTAGTGCCCCTCAACTCCCTGCACACACCTCCTAAGTAGAAATAATTAAATTTATGCAATGCTTGGAGGGAGCACAGTATACTTCTGACTGAAACTTTCAGACTGTGTTTTCAGTGAGTGTGGTTGTTGCCATTTGATACAAACATTCACCAGAAAAAAATGGAGTGAATAAAAGCTCTGTGATGCTGTTCTCCTGGCTCACTGATTTTGAGTTGGAAGTCTAATGAAAACAGCCATTTTCAAGGCGGTTGAACTTTGTGACATGCTTATATTTGTCACTGTATCTTTGTTTGACTAGTAGCATCTCCCACAGCACACTTTCAGTGGTCAGTCGGACCTGTGTTTGCTGGGTCTGAAGCGCTCCCCCTGCAGTGGTCCCATCCAGTAGGTTGGGTAGATCCCTCTGAATCACTGGGGTGGTGCCACTGCTGGACGAGAGGAGGGAAGTGTGCGAAACGTGGCACAAAGTTGTTCTGTCCCACAGATGCTGCAGTGTGGTTACAGCAAAGCAGCCAAGGACTGGATAATACTTGAGGAGCAACTTTTCCACAGAAGGGGCCTGTGGGGAGATGCATCACGATCCTTAAAGCCACGATGGATTCTTGATTGTTATGAAGGGCCTTCACGAATGAGGAGGAGGATTCAGCATGCGAACAGTCAAGCGACAATGATGCGAATGAAGAGTGAGGTAGAAAGCTGTTGCAGGAGGTGCACAGTTTCTGTAACAGTTGCTGGTGACTTTATACTCGCCTCTTTCCTCTGGTTCTCATTACCTCACTCATCAATATGCTGTGCCATACATAGAGAACCCACTGAATGTGTCTGATTTTGAGAGAGTAAGAGGGGCTGCAATGTGTTCAGCAGCAACAGAATGATTTTCCTTCTTTTCTGGTATAAGATCTCCCTAGGCAGATAAGAGTATAACCCGACGACACTTTTCTGCTTGTAATATCTCATGGGTATAGCATTTCCCAATGTATGCAACAGAGTCCAGTTAGAAGACTGCACTGTCCGGTTAGTCTTATGCTTATTAGGGCTGCTAGAACTGGTGGATGGCCAAAAGGGGAATTAGAGTGGTTTGAACTAAGCATTGAACTGCGTATGTTGGGTATTTACTACTGTCTGTCTCTATAGTGTCTAAGTGCCAAATCCTATCAACCAGAAATTGAAGCACTTTAGTATATCAGGAGGTTCCCATCTCTAGGACATTTTCAGCTTTTATGTGAAGCTTGGATTCCGGCTGTTTTATGTAGACTGGGTGGTATGGTTTTTATCCTATAACTGGCCTCATGCAGGGTCTTCTTTGAAAAGACAAAGTTCTCTGGCTTAATTGTTGACATTTGTTCCTACATTTAATTGTTCCTTTGGGTCCTTTCAAATGACTGTATTTGAATTTCCAAGGCATTTATTTGCAACATAGGTATAAATCTGTGGTTTTCTCTGCAGCAAGATTCTGAGTTACGTTTACCTGTCTGCATATTCCACTCTAGTCATACCTAGTCTCTTTTCAGATTCTCCTAGCAAACAGAAATGAGACAACCCCCACTGCTGAAGTGGATCCAGGTAACCTTTTAGGGCTAAATTAAATCATGAAGAGGGTGGACACAAACAGCCAAAAAGAACTGGAGTTAGTGTATTGAGTTCTAGGTCAGAATTTCATCTAGTGAAAAAAACTTATTTGCAGTGCTCCGGGCTAAAAAGTTACTTGAACATCTGGGAAAAGACTGATGCAATTATTAGAGGTAGTATATAAACTGTCTTCAGAATTTGTTGCTCTCTTGTTGCCACCAGAAAGATCTGAAAGCAAAAAAGCTATCTTGAAACGACAGCTTTGAGTGTTCTTGAGCACCTGGAAAGCTCCCAACTGCTTAAACTCAGAAGGAAAAGCACAGACTCTCCCCCTGCTTTTAGTAGACACTCCTATTATACTTGTGAAACAGTATTTAAAACCAGGTGATAGATGGCTCAGAGAAGTGGTAATAGGAATTGTAACTTTCCAAGAACGTGGACAAAATAATAGAGACTAGAAGGAAATCACCAAGAAAATTAACATGTCAAATTGTTTTTCAGTGTTCAAAATAGAACCAGATTTTTCAACATTTTTCATTTTCCAAGGCCAGGTTTTCTGCTACATGAGACATTAAAAGAATGGGGTGGGAGGGGAGTGAGATATGGTACAGAAGTCAATAGTTTTTCAGAGAGGGGGAAAAAAAAACATTGAGAAAGAACTGTAGTTTGGAAATGTCAGCCAAGTCTAAGGCTGTGGATTTCAGCCACCTGTATGGCTGTTCCAAGTCAAGTTTCTAGTGTACACTGTTGGAAATAGGCAGTATTGTTGTACACTTTTTAGTGTGATAGGGCCTAGAAATCAAGTGAGAGTGGAGCGCATTGTTCTAGACTCCAAACAAAATTGAAGTACTGCGTAGTTTATGTAGTTTCTGCATGAAAGTGGTTACAGTCTACCTCAATAAGAAGGCTGATCATGCCTCCCTTAACTGTGTGCACTGCATGAATTTGCAAAATTTGAGACACAGATTGGGCAAGGTACAAGCAGATTGTCTCTCCTTGGTTTCTCTTAAGATCCTGCTCAGTGCATGTCCCCAAAAGACTACTGTTTTCAGGTTTTTCTAATTTCATGTGGGTATGTGAACAAGATTCTTTTTTTAAAAAATTATTTTATTATCAGATGATTAGCTCAACACAGTGCAGAAATGAGAATAAATATATTTGTTCAATATGTTTGAATCTTCAGTGATTAGAGGAATTTAGTTTGAATTATGACTGAGTACAGCTACCTGTTTTTAGTTCCCTGAACTAAGCATCCTTCTTTAGCAGTCACAGATTTTACTTCCCTCTTGCCTGTTTTTTGCAGATAAATAACGCTATTTCCCAAGGTAGAACAGATTGGGTGAAAGTCTAAATTGCAAATGCTTTTGGTGTCATCCGGCTGCCACTAAAACTGCAATCTCTTTTATACTGATATAGGAGAGCTGACATTAAATGGAGCAGAAAGGGAGATGGATAAGAAGGGATCGGATTGTAACCAGCTAACGTTCTTCCCTGCTCTACACGAAAGTTTCCATTCAGAAGACTTCTTGGAACTGTGTGTGGAGAGACAAATTATACTGCAGGAGTTTGCAGAGACTGAAAAGGTAGGAAAAATGAACTAGAAGGTGTTCTCTGGGGAGATGGCATTCTTTTCCAGTGTACCTGTTTCTTCCAGCGGCATCATTCCCCCTGTTGGCCCAAGAGCTAGCATCCCATAGTGGAAGCCAAGGGTCAGACTTGGAGTATTTAAACTCAGCCCTCACAGTGCTGTGATACATAGGTATAGAAATAATTATTTTGTTTTTATGTCTCAGTACCATCGCTGAATTTTCTTGACGCTTTGCCAGTGGCTGGGGGTCACATTCGTGCTCTCCAACATGATGGTTTCCTTATGCTATTAGAGCTGTTGGTACACTGTCTGTCTATACAACATAATTCATTTCCCTGCCCCTCCTCCTTCCTGCCCCCCCATACCTCTCCCCAGCAGAAGGAGACAAGCATGAAAATGTGAGGCATGTTTTCCGTGTGCTGATCTCATTTTGAGCCTTCAGGCTGTCTGTCTCTTCTCCATGTAACTCTGCAGGAAGCCGTCAGAAACGCCAGGCATGTTTTCTTCCAGCAGCAGTCACCGTGTTGCCGAGCTGACAGAAGTATTAAAAAAAGCAGTAGGGGGTGACATTAGCTGTCCTGCGCTCACTTAGTGCGCTGTGGTCCTGCCTTGTAAATGGCTGCCTCGTGAGCTGTTTGCACTTTAAGCAGGCAACTGGAACCATCTTACCTACTGCACTGCACAGAAAAGTCATTGTGATGCTTTGGCAGATACTAGATTGATTTCTGTAACACAGGGATAGCCCTTCTCTGGAAAGTGGTCATTGTTTTATAATGTCACCCAGTGCTATTTTTTTGCATTACCATTAAACAGGCACTTTTGTACATACTCAGATATTTGAGATGGCTTTTTGCAGAAGCAGCAGATCAGATGCTATTGACATTGTTTGTTGGTTCAGAGTCTGTTCCTCAGCAAGTTAAATCAGGAGAATATGGGTGCAGGTGGAGTATTGTTATGCTAATATCATCTAGTCTTTTTTTTTTATCTTACTTGAAAAATAGAATAGAAAACACTTCCA